ACACGGCGGGGGAAGAAGACGGACAGAGAGGCAAAGCCACCACAGGAGCAGGTGAGGGGGAGAGAGCAGACGGCAGGTCCGCTCTCCTCCGGGGAGGGGAGGAAAGTGAGGCAAGGCATGGCCGTGCTCGGGGTGGGCATGGAAGGAAAAAGGCAGCGATGGAAGGAGGGGAAGCAGCCACGATGGACCTGATCTACCCTCCTCCTCCTCCTCCTCCTCCTCCCAGGGAGCTCAGATCAGGGGCAGGGACTGTGCTGGGCAATGCGCGCTTTTCCCGGCCGTCCTGTCCCCTCTTCCCAAGATCCCTCGCCAGCCTCTGAATCAACAGGAGTGAAGGAAAAGTCAGTTTGAACTTTCAGTTAGCCAACAGTTAACTGAAAGTTCAAGTTTTGTGCTCTCCCCGCCTCCCTTCCTTAAGTCAAAGTAAAGTTCGCAGGTCGAGGAAATATTTTCCTCTCAGAGTGGTTCTTAAGTCAAAAAGTTCGTACCTCAGGCCGTTCGCAAGTCGAGACCCCACTATTCTCATTTGGGTCTCCCCTCCCTCCCTGGCAGATTAGTCCAGTCAGTGCACTTCTCTAATGTAATATATCCCTTGATTTGTCTGTTTATATTTTAAGGTTCTTCTGTTTTGTGTGTGTCTGTGTGTGTGTGTTTGCTTCCCATTTATTGGATAAAGACCGCAAATACTGTTTTATATATAGGAAATTGGTGAAATCATGCTGACATTTTAGGCCATTTCATCAGAATATTGATGTCATATTCAGTAGCACTAACTTCTCTATACATATTAATTAATGTAGCTTTTGTTGATCTTGCCTCTTTGGTTTTCGTATCTTTCATAGCAAAGGATCAGACCTCCTGTGAGTTCATGACCTTGGACCAGTCAGTCTGTCTTGTAGACTTACTCACAGAGTAGTTGTGAGATAAAGGGGTGAAGAGGAGAACCATGCAGTCTGTCTGGAGCTCATTTGTGGAAAGTGAGGATACAAATGTATGTCGTCACTGACATCACCACCACTTAGAAATTATATATTGGAGACATAAAGTAATATATCAGAAGGAAGACTAGGCTATAACTTGTTTACATTTGAGACCTATCAATTTGTTAAGGAGGTGTGCAGAGGGTGCCATGTTGAGAGGAATGCGCCAGTACCTAGGTTATCTGGAAACTGAGTCATGGCAACTGGACTTCTTTCTTATTAGGTTGAAATGTTTTGCTATTAATTCAAGTAGCTTCTTCAATCTTTGTCCATCTAACAAGCCTATTCAGACCAAGGGGAAGTGAAACCAATGTTGAGGATCTATCAGGGGCCCCCTACCAACTCTTCCCAGACTGAAGAAGCTACTTGGATGAGTAGCGAAATGTTTTAACCTAATAAAAAGTCCAGTTGACATGACTCAACTTCCACCTGGATTACTGAGAATCTTCCCAGATATAGTACCTAGGTTCTTAATCTGTGATCCTGGGGGGCTATGATGTCCTTGCAGGGAGTACACAAATGTTGTGATCATTTGAAGTTAAAATAGAAGGGAGGGAGGGAAAGGAGGGAAAGAAAGGAAACAAACAAAATCTTAGTTTCCCTCATTTGTTTGTGTAAAATTTGGCTTTTCTAACCTACCATCTCCATTATAAACAAATACAAAAATCAGTTATGAAAATAACTGTTTGATAGCAAATAACTGTTTGATATTCCTACACACAGTGAGAACATGCAAGTGAAAGACACTGAATGGCTGAGAGAAAGCATGTGCCGGCTCTGCTGACGAGCACACTTCATCAATGTGGAGTGCCATTGCCACCCTCGTGGGATATTGTGAGACATGCCAAGTCTCGTGAAAGCAACCCGGGAGGGGAAGGGGAAGGGGCTTGCTACTTAAGGAGTGAGCCCCTCCCCTTCAGCCTCTTCCTTGCTGACAACCCCCACACCCCACCCTATGTACTAGTGTGAGTTTTTCTGGTTGCCTTTGGGGCAGATAGGAATTTTTGACCTGCATCCTGATTTGCACTTGGATGTGGGGATTTTTCGCCTCTCCCACACTGGTAGAGGTGTCCAGGCATTTGTAAAGGTGGGCAATAATCAGTCACAAAGGCGGGTAGCGTGGATAGAACAGGTTTCAGTGAGTCCCCTCACAATCATTGGTAATGTATAGCTCATCAGACCTCCCAGCACTGCGGATTGTGCAATTACAGTGCTTGGGGGGGGAAAGATGTGCTGGGGCCAGACCGGCAGTCACCAAGGGAAAGGGGACTCGAGGTCTGGGTGTGCTCAAATTTGGGCCGGCCAGACTCTCACTGTCTTGACGACAGCAAGACTTCAGGGCTAGGGACTCACCCGTTTATTTGGTAATGGGTCCATTGAGACCCCTGTGCAAAGCCTAATTCTGCACTGCAGTAGAACCCCCCCTTTTATGGTGGGCAATATTGAATATTCAATTAAGTGTGGCCCATGTTTATCTCATAATACTTGTCTTGTGTCATTATTCCGAGGTATGGAGGATGCACTTTTGGCTTTTAAATCTTGAATTAAGTGTTGGTGGTCCATGGCAACAAAAGATATTTAAAGGGGATCTGTGGTAAAGAAAAGGTTAAGAATCACTGTGCTAATACCTTCACAATGACCATGGAAAGGTTACTGTTCATAAAGAAAAAGACTGTTGTACATGAGTAGCCTCTCCATGTGAGCCAGAACATCTCTTCTGGAAAGTTCTAGCTCACATGGAAAAGGTATCCAGGCACAACAGCCTTCCTCTCTTCAGACAGTTAAATTTCTGTATTGAGTGTTGAGATGGAGGGGGTAGGATGAGCACGCTCCCCTCAGTGCTAGTGGTTGCAACACCTTCTGAAGTACTGATTTTGGCTTCTATATACAGTGAATTCTTCAATGTGTTACTCCCAATGTGTTCTGAAAAAAAGGCATTCCACAAACAAATGTTATTACTTCATCTGCTAGTTTTGAGAACAAAATGCTAGTGAGCATATATCATATGGACATATATCTAATAACATTGCAGAACTGTGCCTTTAGAAAAAGCATAGAGGCAATGTTTACCAGGACCAATGTTTTCAAAAGATTTGAAAATCACTTGACATAAATAGGAAGCTTTTGAATGCACATGGAAAAGGTATCCAGGCACAACAGCCTTCCTCTCTTCAGACAGTTAAATTTCTATATTGAGTGTCGAGATGGAGGGGGTAGGATGAGCACTAACTGTGTTGATTAGAAATATGAATCAGAATAACCTACACCATTTTGAAGCAGGATAGAACAAGTTTTTGAGACATATCCTCAGGGCACCTCAGGGGACCCTGGCAGCTTTTCTTAGAACAGAGATAGGCAAGGTATCCATTAAAGCCATGGCAACTCTACCTGTATTCTCCTACTAAAGGAGGGTGATGGATATGTATAATCAGCGTCTACCTAAATGCTGTATGGTAGAGCAAGTGAAGAGTGGTGGCTGGGCAACTTTAGTTCAAACCTTGCTAAAATCTAAATCCTACTCCACATACATTTTTGTTTTTTTCTGGGGTTAAAAGAACGTTGAGGTACTGGATCTACAAACTGGATAATGACTTAGCCTTAATAGATTCTTCAAATTTCTCTCACTGGTACCATCTGCTGAAAACAAACCACTCAAGGGCGCAATACTTACATACACTTACAGTGGGGTCTCTACTTAAGAACGTCCCTACTTAAGAACAATCCAACTTCAATGCCAACTGCTGTCTTAGACGGCAGATACATGAATGTCCCTAAGAATCTAAGGCTGTGTATTTGCGGAGCAGGTGAGATAGAGGATATTGTTCACTATTTACTCAACTGTCAGCTCTATCAAACCCTAGGGAAAAATCCCTTGGGAAACATTTTTGGCTGCCCTACTTGAGGAAAACCCTCAGATAAAGGTGGGCAGGTTACGTTTGGACTCTGACCCATATGTTCTACATAGAACAATGCTGTTTGCGAAAGCAGCTGGAAACATCTGTGCTAATTTCCTGACAGCCAATTTAGACAACCACCTGACATATATCCTTTGATTTTGACTCCTGCACTGAATAAGGGGTTGGACTCAATGCCTTTATAGGCCCCTTCCAACTTTATGATTTTGTGGGCATGTTACACCTCAGCAGAGTCCAATTTGTAAACTTGTGGCCATCAGTTAAAGATCTAAATCAAATGTTTTCTACCTGTGCTGAAAAAGAAGGAGGAGGGAATTCAGCACTACTTTTTGGATAATACTTTCCTCTTAATGTGTGGGAAATTTTTGAGGGGAGAGACTTATTAAACTTCCTTATAGGCACTTTAATAATCCTGTACAAGGTGAGACTGAGGAAGCTACATGAGACAAAAAGGCCTTGGATGCCTTGTGGCCAAGAACCTTCCTCCATTGGACTTATATGCTGGTCCATCTTTATCTCTTTCATACTAATGGGAAGAGAGGTCAGAGCACTTCTTACATAAATTGTGACCAGTATCTATCGTTTCCAAGTCAGAAGCATCCCTTTCCCTCAGATTTCAGGACCAAGGTACATATGCTTAGATGTGCTCATGTGATGTCACAGAGGTAGGGCAGGCAAGAGATCAGAAAGGATCCAGAATAGCCACAGAAGAGTCTGGATAGGACATGACAGAAAATATTAAAATGCAACAGAAAAAATGTTACTTCTAATTTATATATATTTTACTCTTGTAAAATGAAAGTAACTGTGTAGATATGCTTTAGTTAGCAAAGCAAATACACTAGGAAGGTAGTTCCACTAAAAGCTATTTTATCTTGAAATTCCAGTGCTCAAGAGACTGATCCATAGTGCCACTATCCCATAAGTGTTGCCCCTCTCCCAAAACACATTCAAGGTGAACACAGAAGGAACATGACTATAACTCCCTTGTTTCACAGGCAGGAGCAGAAGCATTGTCTTGAGAGCATCAAGGGGGAATAATAGTACCTCAGACTT